TGTTTGAAATATTGTTGCTGTATTTATATGCTCAGATGGAAATAGAATATTTCGACGCGCGTATCCGGGAAATAGGAAAATTGCTGACGCTCCATGAATTTCGTCCATAAATATCGTGCTTTTTGCTACGGTGCGGTTTTGTGTTATTTGCTTACGTTGAGGTGTGTGCATATAACTAATAAAAATATATGCTTTACAATGTATGAAGTACGGGAGTTTGGTTTTGAAATGATGTTTAATACGTTTATTGCAGCCATTTCCAAGTATAAAAATCAGGTTCGAGAAAAAATTGACGGTATTTTGTTATCATGATAAGTATACTAAGTGATATATGAATCCGAACGCCCAGTTTAAATGGTTTTATTTTAATAAAAGTTGGTGAATGTGTTTATCTTACTGTAAATAACAAGTGAAAAGATTTTCAGCCTTATCAGTTGGACATTCCGGTTTTTATACTGCTTTTTTTTAATTCACTAACGCTCTAAAAATGAATATTTCGGCCGCAGTAAAGAATCAACGTTGGCGGATTTTGGTTCTTGACATCCTTTACGATCGGTTACCATGCCTAGAGTACGGAGACCTGTACGATTTCGTCAACTTAGTGAGTTTGATAGGGGCCGTATAGTGGGACTTCGGGAAGCTGGACTTTCTTTTCGGGCAATTGCTGTTAGAGTGCAAAGAAGTGTAGACACTGTGGTTAGGTGTTGTCAGGCATGGCTTCAAGAAGGCCGTACGCAAAGAGCAAGGGGCACTGGACGCCGCCGTGGAACAACAGACCGTGAAGATCGAGGCCCAAGATTATTGGCCTTAAGGCACCGTTTCTCCACTACCAGGTCCATTGCAAATGAATGGTTTGCAGATTACAGAAGACCTATTGGCATGCGAAGTGTTTACCGACGAATGAGAAGTTTTAGCTTGTTTTCATATTGGCCACACTGGGTCCTCCCTTTAACTCGAGAACACCGACGTAATCGCCTTGAGTGGTGCAGACAACGGTCACTCTGGGATCAGGAATGGAACAGTATTGTCTTTAGTGACGAGTCTCGATTTTGTTTAGGGCATGCACGATGGTCGTGCCAGGGTTAGAAGACGACGTGGTGAAAGGAGGAGTCCACAGTTTTTTGTTGAAAGACATGTTCATCACACTGTTGGAGTTATGGTTTGGGGTGCTATAGCTTATGGTTCCAGGTCACCTTTAATCTTCATCAGAGGTAACATGAACGCGCAGCGTTATATCCACGAAGTTCTAGAACCCCACCTTTTACCCTATCTTGACACCCTGGCAGATCCAACTTTCCAACAAGATCATGCCCAATTGAGCACGTGTGGGATATGATGGGCAGGAGATTGCTCAATTTGCAACGTCCTCCTCAGACACTAGAAGCACTTCGAGAGGAGTTGGTGGTTGCCTGGAATGAGATACTACAGGAGGACATTGACCACCTGATCAGAAGCATGCCATTTAAACTGGGTGTTCGGATTTATATGTCACTTAGTATATTAAAGGACTTGTATCATCTAATGCCTTGTTACCAGAGACATAGATTCGGGTATTATGACACAGATAGACTGACTTTTTCATACAGCAACAAAACTATACTGTCATAACTTTCTATATACGAGGGTTGTAACAAAAACAAGATTCACACATTTTTTCAGGCACAATCAATTTTTTGTTTGAAAAAACGCATTTACCATTTGAAACTTTGATCTTTAAGCTGTTCTTCTATAAGGTTGCCATTTTTCTTCGCATTTTTTTTTTTAGACGTGGAATCCGTAAGCTTATTTTTGAAACCACGTTTGTAATTATATACTGACATAGAAAAAAGAATACCCAGTAATATTGAATTTATGACTAATATTTTCCGAGTATATGTTTGTTCAGGTTAAAACGAAAAACGATCGGCTTTTCAACCATATCCATAAAGTGGCTTTTGTTTTCAAAGGCCCCTTTAGCTCAGATTTGGAGATCATTGAAACTCTTCAGATTTCCTTGGTTTTTATCAGATCTCTTCGTATCTTCAATTTATAAAATGGCAATATCAACTCGAAGAATTCTTAATTAATAACTTTTCGGATCTCTCATAGTGGTGTTGTAGTGTGCTTGCTTACTTTTGCTCTGTTTGTTAATTTGTTCAGATGAGCTATGTTTTATAGTTTTGTATTTATTTTAAATTTTGAATTCATAATATTTTTTTACAGTTTTTCTGTTAGTGTTGTTTTTTACAATTTTCAGTTAATGTGGTTCTTGCGAACAAATGTTATTGTGAACTTAAACCTTTGCATTTTAAATTTACATTTTGACCTGTGTAAGCACGCAAGTGTATTAATCACCAATAAAGGAATGAAATTGAATGAAAAGAGAGTAGAGATAGAAATCCTAGACTATAACTGCGACTGAAACGTGCCGCTTATGCAGACCCACATATTGTCCTGGATCTCCTTAATCTGTCTTAAATCTCTTTGGATTACTCCGATCCCCTTGGATTCTCGCTTTATATGCGTTAACTTTGTTAAGTCTTTTGTGACTTAAACCTCAAGTAAGGTTACCATATTAGTGTTAACGTCTATGTATATCGAAATGTCTGATTGTATCAGTGAACGCAGATCGCGTAAGAAATGAAACTCAGTGCGGTTTCGGTTCGAAACTATAGCAGGAACTTTATTGGATGAAAACAGGATGATAACAACGCTAGTTACATTTCATATTCAGTTTATAGGAAGTAAAATATAGCAAAATGCAAAGTCAGGAATGTTCTCACAAAGATAACACCTAACGCTGCAACTAGAAACCGGATGGACGGTGCTAATAACAAGGGCATCGGGATGGTGTTAGCCGTACGATTGAAATGGTAATCATCAGGATTCCATAACTCCTCCCTCCTCGGAAAGATTGGTCTCCAATCTCAAAAAATGATTTGAACTTTTAATTTGAAGGAGAAGTTTCTTAAATATCACTACTTTGAGGTGGAGTTTTAGTATCCTTTACATAACGGTATCTAACAAAAATTGTTATAAATAAATCCAACAAAATAATTACAGTAGTAAAAATAACAGGATAACTTATAGTAGAATGAAACTGTAAATCTTCAAAATGAACTTGAAGTGAAGTGAGATTTTTTTCGAAATAAGATTCGAGTGAAGTGTTTGTTTTCTTAAATGAATATTTATCGTTGTCACCTCTGAAGGATAATTCTAATTCAATTTCATAATTAGAGTCAAATTCTAATATTTGATCATTAATAAATGTATGACATTCTAAAATTATGTGAGTATTAAAATGAATATGATGGATTCCTTTACAATCCTTGATTTTTGTTAAAACATTAGTGTCGATTACATAATTGTTCTTACTTAATTCTAGGATTCGCATGTAGTTTACTAGACTTTCAGACTCACAAGTGTCTAACTTAAGTGGTTGACATGGCGACTGGAAAGTATTCGTGCAAACATACAGCTGATTGCTTAACTCTATAATATTTTTGCAATAATAATACTTTTCGAAGTATAAAATATAATCACTTGGTAATTTTACTAATTCTTTTTTGACTGTGATTGAAAATAACTTGAATAAGGAATAAGTTCTAACATCTAAAATGGGAAACTCAACTACAAAAATAAGTTGGTTTTCTAAAAGTATAAGTGATAAAAGGGAAAGATCATAAATCTCAAATAAATGTATTTTGTCGAATGGCAATAATTCTTCGTCTTTATAAATGGATTTTAAATGTTCAATAAGTAAGGTAATCTGATGATGAGATAATTGTAAGGTGTTGAGACCTGTTTGCTGGTTTAATTGTAGAACTAATAAAAGTGAATTTAGATATGAATTAAATCGTTGCAAATTTGTAATAATTGAGATCTGATGGATCGCCTGGTGTGATAACAAAGACTGATGTTCAATAGTTTGGACATTATGAATAATAGTTGACTGAATTCTTCTTGTATTATTTTCAAAAGTTTCTTGAATAGATTTGCAAAACGTGATAGTTTTCTGATGACATTCAAGCAAGCTATTCTGGTTATTTCGTAAAGCGTTCTGATTTTTCAATCGTTTTGATCAAGATTGCCAGAAATAAAACGAATTATAGAACCTCCGCGTTTGATTCTATGCTGTGTTAGAGTTTAGAACTTCATCGTCTAGAAGTTTAGTGACTTGTTTTTGAGTTTCTTGTTTCAAGAAATAGGGATAACGAAAAGATTTAACGAAAATAGGATCATCATTAGATGTTCGAATAAAATGCTTAGTAGCTGTGCAGGGTTTTAATTTTTCGTTGGGCTTTAAGAAAGCTTGAGGGAAGTTTTTACAGAGATTTAAAATGTGAAGTCTTTCTTCGGAATTCATGTGTTCTGTACGAATAAGATCAGACATGTTTGGAGATTTGGGCAAGGATTAGGATTCGAAATTTCATAATCGGAAATTGATTCGAATTGAATGTTATGACTTTCAATTAATTTGAGATTTTCAGGAAACAGAATCTTTTTATCTATGACAGGGCAAATATAACTAGGATTTTCTGAATTCGAGTATTTGACAGGGGGGATAAATACAGAATCTTCATTTGTGTCTATTGGAATGGTGTCGAAAATCTGATTGGGAATTTTAATTGGTTCCTTATGAGTATGACATAGAATTTCACAGTTTTCGATGGAAAGTAAATTATGGGAAATGTAAAAATTACTGTGGAATTTCTGTAGGTCATAGTAAGCTAAAAGACAATCATATTGTTGATGCCATGGGAGTAATAAGAATTCAACTTCTGTTGGAATACCTAGATAATCAAAGATAGGGATCTTACAAGCGTGAGTACCAATTTTGGTTTCAATTGCTGTTTTGATAGAAAAACATTTTGGATAAATATAATCCGGAAATTTGTCGTAGGCAATTTGGGGATTCATAAGAGATGCAGAAGCACCTGTATCTATAAGAATAAGTAAATCCAAAGCTTCATTGTAGAGATATGGGAGATGAATATTTTCATAAGAGTTTAAATCAATGTCTATTCTGGGGATTGTTGATGAGGAGTTGATTGAAAATTTTCTTGAGAATAATCGTCTTCATAATATTGAAATTGATCTTCTACGAGATTTTCTGGACAACAAGCTTCAGAATAATAAGATTCGAAGGGGTTTGCTACATTTTCTGTAGAGCTTTCATTAGTGGGTTCGGATTCGTTATTAGTAAGTTCTTGAACAGCTATGCTAGGGCGTTGACCATTATTCGAAAAGAAATTGGGTCTTACAAAAGGTCTACGTGACTGGATCGTCGAAGTTGACATAGGCGTAGGATGGTTTTGATTATTTTGTCTTGAAGTATTGGTGACAGGGAGCCTATTCATAGGAAATTGTGGACGATTTGCAAAATTGTGTTGAGAGGGGTTGAATGCGTTCGAAAATTGACGACTTTGTGGGGAAGTATAGAATGGTTGTCTTAAAGTTGGACGAGAATTGTGAAATGATTGTGGGTTGCTAAATTGTTGTCCATAAGTAATAGCGGTACGAGAAGTAGAGGGATTATGAGAGAAATTAGCAAAATTGGGAAAGATAGGTCTATATGACTGCATTGGCGGTCTAACAGGTTTATTTGTCTGAGGCTTAGACTTAGTGACGAGAAACTCTTTATATTGTTTGGTTTGCAAAAGATTGTCGTGTTCTTGGCACCGTCTCTTAGCTTCATCTATATTTTTAGGGGGTGGTTGTAATGCAACGCAATGATATTCGCAATTGATTCCGCATAAAAAGGAGGTTAAATCCATTTGTTCATATCTAGCAATCATTGCTGGGGCAATTTCTGGAAGATAATTTAATCGAGCAAATTCTCGTAATTCATGAAGTTTGTTACAAATTTCTGAATGTAAAACGCTATAGTCTGGGAAATGAATATCAAAAAGTTGACGAGTCAAATTTTCTTCAGTTTGGTAATCTTTAAATCTAGTGGTTAAAATTGCAGAAAGATGTTCAATAGTAATAGGATTAGTTTGTTCTGTAAATTCGGCAGGTTCACCTTGTAATCTAGACTTAATGAATGTTAAAGCATGTCCTTTATAGGAAATAGGTAAAGCGTTATAAAATTCTGTAGACTTTCTTAAAAATGTAGAAAGATTGTTTGAATAGCCATCAAATAAAGGAATTGAATCTTTTAGCATGTTAAAAATTAATTGAGGAGTGTCATGCTGAACGATATTCTGTTGATTTGAAGTAGCCATTCTTATAGGAGATCTTTCTCTTTCGGTAGGCACAAAACGATTAACGAAAGGCATAAAATAAAATGTATAAAAGATGCAAGATAAAAATGAGTAAAAATAGGTGAAAACAAAACTTAAAGTTATGCACAAAATTAGATTTCAATTGAAAAACGCAAACTTGGATTCTTCAAAAAAAAATCTTAAGTCTTAATGATGCAGTTGATCCCTAGAATTCCACACCACATGAAATTATTACAAGTTTCTCAACGGCATGTAGATACGCCCCAAAGAACGCAATTTTGCCTGAGCTGTATCTCCCAGAGGTATTGAGATCCCATGCATAGGATCCTTATATTGTGCTCGTTGGATCATAACAAATATTAGGGATTACCACTGTCATTTGCACCAGTGTCACCAGATTAAACGGCTCTATATGGGATAGTGTACGAAGCTGATGGATATTTATGAAACTTAGCGTACACAATCTAATACTGCTCAATTCCGTGGTGGGTGGTGCACTGGCGGTCTACGTAAACCCTTATTAATCAGTTTCCTAGCTAGTACGCCGCAGCACTGTCCCACTTGGAGAATAACACCGCCAGGAACTTTCTAATACCGACGGAATCCCAGGACAGTGTCGTTTTAGGACCCCGTGGAGGCCCCACCGACTGCCCGACTGGTCTGAACGATCGTTCATTTGCATCTTCTGATTAAAATGCAGCATTGTTATTGATCGGAGATGCCCAATGTTGCTACAGTCACTCGAGGTTAATCTGGCGAACTTTACTATCATGAATTGAGTGCCATTACAGTTTTTTGATGAGTTTTGTAATCCAATCCAATCTTCTCTGTTGAATTACAAAGTAGGCCGGTATCCCGTCATTACCGGTGTGGCAGCAAAGCTTTTTCAAAACACAATTAAACCCAATGCATGATTCAAAACGTTTTTATTTGTTTTTACTTGCCACGCCTACTGACGGGGAAGTATTGTAGCGAAAAAAAAACTCGTTTTTTGACGTTTCAGAACATCCTGATCATTTTCGGAAAAAAATTGTAAGCGTTAAAATATGAAGGTTAGGGGTTGCAGGGGGTGGAGGAGAGTAAATCTCAGTTTTTTAACATTAGTATATTTATACGCCTCTAACCCCAGTAGTTCTATGCACATCGACGGGCCACTTTAGGTCTATTTAACATCACTAACACGTAAAAAGAAGGTGGTAGACAAGGACCAGTCGACCGAGGCAGTACCACCCGCTAGCTTTTCCCAGGATGTCTTATAAATGTCCGCATGTTTCCACACCCAAGCTATGCAGTCGATTATCTACCAAAACAAAGAAATTAATGATGATGGATCCCTCGAGCACTAAAAACTCCGGACGTAAACTCACTCCACTCTCGGAATGTCCGGGTGGAGGGTGGGCTCGAGGGAACAACATCGAAGATAAAATTTGTTTTTCGAACATCTGCGGGATCAACAGCAACATTGATGCTGTTCATCACTACCTGCAATCCAATCGTCCCGCCGTGCTTTTCTTGGCGGAGACAAAAATCTCAGAGACTGCACCGATTAACCATCTCAACTTCCCAAACTACGAGGTGCACTTGCAATCTGAGAAAGAACAGGGGTGTTGTGGCTTTTGTCCGCAGCAGTCTTTCCTGCTCCAGGGATCTTTCTATGGAATCAGACCGGAAGGACATTCTGTGTCTTCGCCTCAACTCCAAAATATCACCCAAATTTATTTGCTGCCTTTATCGCTCTCCCTCGAACCATAACTGGGATGACCTACTCGAATACCTCGCCGTCCAGATCGACTTCCTGAACATCAATCACCCCGCTTCAGAGGTAGTTCTTCTCGGTGATTTCAATGCCCATAATGAGCTTTGGTTGGGCTCAAATAAGACCGATGCAGCAGGTCGTGCAGTCGAAGCGTTCGCTCTTACTCAAGGGCTGACCCAGCTGGTGACGAGCCCTACTTTTTCCCCCGCGTCTCGTCACACGCCAGTAGCCTGCTGGATCTCTTTCTGACCACGCATCCTGCCCCTTACAGCACTGCTGTCCTGTCCCCCCTGGGTAACTCAGATCACGGTGTTGTGGAGGTTAGGTTTCGGTCAGAAGCCGCTGTGGCAGCAGAAACTCGCACAGGCCGCAAAACTTGGCATTACGGACATGCCGACTGGGAGGGGTTCAGAGACTTCTTCTCTAGCTTTCCTTGGAGAGATGTCTGTTTCACTGACGCGGATGCGTCGACTGTCTGTTCTTCAATAACCGAAATTATCCACGTCGGAATGGAGGAATACATCCCTCACACAGTAAAAGTTCCTAAACCAGGGCCCAACAGCTGGTTCAACAAATCGTGTGACACTGCTCGCCAGCAGAAGATCAAGGCCCACAGAACCTACTTACAAAACCCCACTGTAGAGAACAGACAAGCCGACGTCGAGTCCAGAAACAAATATAACGAAGAGGTCCGCAATGCCAAAAACCAGCATGATATAAAAGTTAGGCACAGGGTAATGTCGCAGCGCAATGGCAGTCGGTCTTTCTGGACGCTGGCCAAGCAGATTGAAAAGAACTTCTCACACAGTAGCCTTCCACCACTTACGTGTCAGGATGGAACTAATGTATTCGACTCAAAGGCCAAGGCGGAAGTGCTAGCCAAGATCTTTGCTGCCAACTCCACCATGGACGTCCCCACCAACGCCCAAGTGCCGTCAATTCAAAGGGTTCCCCACACTATGCGAGAGGTAACATTCAGGCATAAGACCGTAAGACGAGTGCTCTTGTCGCTCGACATCAACAAAGCTTCTGGTCCGGACTTGATTCCTGCCATTGTACTGAAGAGATGTGCAGCGGAGCTTGCTCCAGTTCTTTCGCGTCTCTTCCAGATATCTTATGAATCTGGCACCTTCCCAGAAAACTGTAAATTTGCTCATGTACATCCCATCCTAAAAAAAATGATCTAAAACCGACCCTTACAACTACAGGCCTATAGCTCTGCTTTCTGTTATAAGTAAAGTGATGGAGAGGTGCATAAATCGCGAGCTTCTAGACTACCTCGAACGTCACAGCTTGATTAGCTACAGGCAGTACGGTTTCCGGCACCAACGATCCACAGGGGACCTCCTAGCTTACGTCACGCAACTGTGGAGTAAACTCATCCAGTCTCATGGTGAGGCTCATGTCGTTGCTCTTGACATCACGAAAGCGTTCGATCAGCTGTGGCACGCTGCCCTCTTAAGCAAACTTCCATCCTACGGCCTCCCAGAGAAGCTTTGCAGATGGGTGGCTGACTTTATCTCTGGCCGCAGGATGTCCGTCGTAGTTGACGGATTCTCCTCTTCATCCCACAACGTCAACGCGGGTGTTCCCCAGGGATCGGTCTTGGCTCCAACACTGTTTCTCTTACATATCAACGACCTCCTTTCCTGCACGATCAACCCAATCCACAGCTTCGCTGATGACAACACTCTACATGCAGGAATTCAGAGTGACAAGCCGATATCTGCAGCTGAGCTGGAAAAAGGAAGACTAGCGACGACTTCTTCTCTGACAAGAGACCTGGAGGCTATCACTGCTTGGGGACGCAACAATCTTGTACAGTTCAATGCTTCCAAAACACAGTACTGTACTTTGACGAACAAAAAGCGTCCTAGCGCTCATACAGTTTCGATGGACGGTCGAGTTCTACCAAAGAGCCATTCATTTCGGCTGGTCGGAGTCCAGATTACCGAGGACCTGATCTGGCACGAACACATCTCTTCAATAGCTGCAGCTGCTGGGAAAAAGCTAGGCTATTTGTTTAGGGCTAAGAAGTACTTTTCTCCGCATGACCTTCTCACTCTATACAAGGCCCAGATAAGGCCTAGCCTCGAGTATTGCTCACACATTTGGGGTGCTGCCGCCCCGACTACATTGTCCATGCTCGATGCTGTCCAGAGGAGGGCGGTCCGACTGATCGATGACTCTTCTCTAACAGACAGTCTCGGGACTCTTTCGCACCGGCGGGCCGTCAGCGATCTAGCTCTTTTTTATCGCTACACCAACGGGCTTTGCTCCTCAGAGCTCTCTTCCATGTGCCTGCCAGACAGACCCGCCTGACTTCGGCGTCCCATCCTAACCGTGTCAAACTTCGTACATCAGAACTGGCCGATACGACCGCTCCTTTGTCCCGAGGGTGTCTAGATTGTGGAACAATCTACGGGAGGAAGCTTTTCCCAGTTCCACTAACCTTAGGCAGTTCAAAAATCGTATTAACAAAATTTCTTTGGGATCATCATAGCAGCCGCGGTGTTCCGGCATTTAGGCTTCTGCCTGCGCGGCTGTTTCGATATAAAAAAAAAGACGTCGTCCCCCGATGGACAAGCGCCTTCGTCGGTGGTCGCACGCGACAGTCTACAAACGCTCCCACACTACTGTGTGCTGCGTGCACTGTGCATGGTGTAGGCCAATATCGTCATTCGCGCGGGATTTGTCATCGCAACGATCATGTTCACCCGCAGCAATTCCTCTCAGGAGGAGGAGGAGGAAGGTTATTTAATTTTTAGTTATACATATGCGTGGCTAACTTTTTTCTCTGAAGGGCTAATGTTGTTCCAAACATGCTCATATGGAAACTAAAAATTTTATTATCGATGGCTACATGTGAGCGAAGCGAAGCTTTGTACAATGAGGTAATTTAAGGCGTTGAATATGAGTATCATAGAGGAAAATTTGCAAAGTGTCATCGGACCGGAATCACATGTACGAGGGATGTCTTTTAAGTTTTGCATATGGAAATAAAACAACACGTTAGGTCGTTTTAAATGACTTTATTGGTTGGTAAGTATTCTCCACGACGATCAATACACATCTGCATGCGCTCGAATCAATTTTCGAAGCACCTATTCCACTAGTTTGCCGGCAGATCCAAAACGGCATTTTTGAATGCGTCAACTGCTTCTTCTGGTGACTGGAACCTTTGACCACGCAGTTTGTTTTTAATTTTCGGGAAAGTAAAGAAATCGTTAGGACTTAGATCGGGACTATATGGAGGATGGTCCAATAATTCCACGTTTTCTCCCGTTAAAAACTGCCT